ATATATATATATATATATATATATATTTAATAACATTAAAAATAAGACAATTTTAAAAGCATATTCTATTTATAATGTAAGGATAAAAAAGGAAGTAATATGAACATTGATTTAAAAACATTATTTAAATTATAACTACTTATACAAAAAAATGAATAGAAATGATTCTCTTCCACTTATTCATTTATCTATTGATTAAAAATTTTTAGATTCTTAAAATCATATCTAATCTTTTGCTAATGCTTTTATTGCTATTTGGAATGTGTATTATTATACACAAAATTCGACATATTTTGGGAATTTTAAATATCTTCAAATTATCGATATAATGTTAATAGAAAGTAACGTTTGCCGAAGAAAAAATCATTATCAACATTTTTTTTAAATGTATATGTCAAATTCCACTATAAATAAAATGTGTTTACAATTTAAAAGAAAAACCGTTATTAGATTGATGTTTACATGAATTTTTTTGAATTTATACGACAAATAGAATATATTTTTAAAATTTAATCACTTTTGTTTGAAACATTTAATACGTTATATATATATATATATATATATATATATATACATATATATTATATTATATATATGTATATATATATAGTCGTTTGTATGATTACATTTTGTTTTATGTATAGCAATACATCTACGTTCCAATAAATTTTATTGTCTTTATAACTGACAGCTAGCTCATTGTCCCTTAGCTCGATATTAACTCAATTGTCGCGAAAATTGTTTCTCGTATTAAAAATATTTATAGTAAATTAATCAATATTTTTAACATAATAATTAGTAATTATTATTTGTTGCAATAGAGGCTGCCTCTTTTGTTAATCCTTTAGGAATCATATCGTTGCAAAGCTTCGTAGAGAAGGCATTCGTGTTTTATTCCTTCTCCGCCAAAGGAACTGTAATTTGGCCATTCGTCACGTCTCTTGCAGTGAAATCCTCGCTCATAGACGCTACCGCATCGTTTATCTGCTGATGTAAAATGATCTGGTTATCGCGGGGCTGGATCTTCTTCAGTGCCGTCAGTTTCTGCAACCTCTCTCGCGCGCTCCGTTATTAATGGATGGCTCGTCTTCGTCGACTTCCTCGTCGTTGTCGATGAATTTTATATCGGATCAAAATAAATTCCTTTGCCTTGATCAAGATCAGCTGGCCCATCAGCTTGTCCTTGACTGGCGCGTTATCAGCTCTATTGTCGCGAAAATTGTTTCTCATATTAAAAATATTTATAACAAATTAATCAATACTTTTAACATAATAATTAGTAATTATTATCTGTTGCGATAGTATACTCTTTGTATAATTTATATAGCGATAGAAACTCTTTTTATAATTTATATAGCAATAGAAACTCTATGTATAATTTATATAATATATTTTATTTATAGTATATTGCAGTGTACTCACCTTTCATGAATTCTTTCGTCTTAATCAAGAACAGCTAGCTCATTGACGCGTTATTAACTCTATTGCCGTGAAAGAACCTGTTACGTGAAAACCCCGAGATTTGTCTAAAAATTCTGTAATCAAAATAACAAATAATTAAAAAATTGTTTTTCATTTTAAAAATATTTATAATAAATTAATCAATACTTTTAACATAATTATTAGTATCTGTTAATAATTATTGTCTGTTGCAATAGAATACTCTTTCTATAATTTATATAGCAATAGGCACTCTTCGTATAATTTATATAGCAATAAAAACTATTTGTATAATTTATATAATATATTTTATTTATATATTCCAGTGTAATCACCTTTCATGAATTCTTTCATCTTGATCAAGAATAGCTGGCTCACGGTTTCTAATTGGCGCGTTATTAGCTCTATTGTCGTGAAAATTGTTTCTTGTGTTAAAAATATTTATAATAAATTAATCAATACTTTTAACATAATAATTAGTAATTATTATCTGTTGCAATAGATTACTCTTTATATAATTTATATAGCAATAGAAACTCTTTGTATAATTTATATAGCAATAGAAACTTTTTGTATAATTTATATAATATATTTTATTTACAGTATGTGGCAGTGTATTTAGCTTTCATGAATTCTTTCGTCTTGATCAAGAATAGCTGGCTCATTGTTCCTAACTGGCGCGTTAACTCTATTGCCGTGAAAAAACCTGTTACGTAAAAACTCCGAGATTTGTCTAAAAATTCTGTAATCAAAATAACAAATAATTAAAAAAATTGTTTTTCATTTTAAAAACATTTATAATAAATTAATCAATACTTTTAACATAATAATTAGTATCTGTTAATAATTATTGTCTGTTGCAATAGAATACTCTTTCTATAATTTATATAGTAATAGAAACTCTTCGTATAATTTATATAGCAATAGAACTATTTATATAATTTATACAGGGTGTATCAGAGCGACCGTATCAGGCTGGTATTTCGAAAAATACGCATTTACTTGAAAAATGTTCCGAACAAAAGTTGTAGGACTTTAAGGGGCGCAATTACATATTTAAAAAAAAAAAATGTAATTGTTAATTGCAAATTACATATTTTTTTCTTAAAAACAACTATGTTTTTTCTTTACATCAATTGATTTCTCTCATTATTTTGTACATAAAATTATTAAGGTAAGATAATCGAAAAATTAATATTTCACAAGATATTTTACGGGTTATGTAAAATTAAGAAATGATTTCAAGCCTCATAACTCGAAAAGTACTCAATGAAGAAATACTTTATTATAGTGTTTTGGAAAGCTCTCGAGGTCAGCTATAAGAATATACAATCAAAAATAGGGATTTTCATTTAAAAACTTTTAATTAATTTTTCCGTGTCCTTAACAACACTATCCAAGGTCACACTAACCATGCTATGTAATGCGCTCCTTAAAGTCCTACAACTTTTGTTCGGAACATTTTTCAAATAAATGCGTATTTTTCGAAATACCAGCCTGATACGGTCGCTCTGACACCCTGTATATATACTATATACATATAGGTATATGACTATTACTACAAAAAAGCGAGAAAAACAAAACATAATTGAACTTATCAATTAAATTATTGAAATCAATATTTACTTTTCTGATTTTTTTGATAGCAAATTCTTTAATAATGTCTTTTATATTTAAGCTTTCAAATATTTCATTCTCTATATTTTAAATAGTTAAAAAATTGAGTCTTTCTTGGCACGTTGAAGATCTCAGATAACTTTTTATTAGTTTAAGCTTAGAAAAAGATCTTTTTTCTGCAGCTATTGTTACAGGTAAGGTCAGTAAAATTCTTAAAACATACTGTTAAATTTGGAAATGTTGTGGTTAATTCATTTTTTAACATAAATTGCAATACATCGAAAGCATTAAGTTTATCTTAAAAAAAAACCGAAACATTTTTTATTTCCGTATCAAGTTCTATCACATCAATATCATACTCTTTGAGGAGGATCACTCACTTGTATTTGTATCTATGCAAAATTTGCCGCCTTTTATATCCTGCCGGCCGTGTGCAATACACTTCGCACACGCGGTTAAGACGGCCCTGGCAAGAAAGAAGCAACACTTTTTTCTTTAATTACTCATTTAATTATTCATTTATTTCAAAATAAATATTACATTATATACAATAAAAATGAATGTTTCGGATCATCTTTCGATCCATCTACATGTCACTCTGTAACGCCTTAGTTGACGCAATTTTTATATATCACTATTTTTGTAGACAAGACAACAGTTAGATGCAATTAGTACATAAAGCTCCCTTTTTACCTTTTTTTGAAAAAGATTTATCAGACAACAGAATAATAGTTAATAATTAGTATTTAGTTAATAACTACCCACACAGCAAGATGATAACAGAAAGAATTCTTAATGTTCTCTCATTTAAGATATAGATATCTAAAAATTTTTTTAGAAAGACAACATAATGAGATCAGAAAGAGCTCTCATGCGCCATATCCAGAGAACGAAAGGACTTCTTGTAGAAGTCATCAAAAAGATAACTTTTTTTAGATATCTTATAATAAATATCAAAAAGATATCTTAAACTAGATATCTTTAGGAGTTCATGTTTATGATGTCAATAAGACATCCTGTTTATGCATTCAAAACATTAAGATTCATATTCTGAATTTTCTTTTATCGATAAAAGTGCCTCTAAAAGACTTATAATTATAAGTCTTTTAGAGGCACTTTTATTAATAAAAGAGGATTCAGAATATAGATCTAAGAAAACGCAAAGCCTTTGGTGAAATATTTTTAGCAAGCTTTCCAAAGTGAATTTTTTTCAATATAGCTATTGTTGACAATGTGAAAAATAAAGATATAAAGAATAATCAATTGTTCTCTGTTCTTCATACTGTCAAACTAAACATCTCAACAGAGACTTCGTGTTTCTTTGGTGTTCTCAATTAACGCTACTTCAAATAATCATTATTATTAAATAATTATTATTTGAATAATTATTATTAAATAATTTTTAAAAATGACATTAAAATTTGTAATGAAAATTTTAATGTCATTAAATGATAACTTTATAAGTTAGAATTTACTTTTACAGATTCCTGTGTAGAAAGAAAGCAAGCCATTTATATTAGAAACATATTAAACTAATTTTTGTATCACTTATTTCAATAGCTATTTTGAAATAATATATTACTTAATTTATTTTAACAATTATTTATTATATAATACATATACATACACATACATACATTCATACATCCAAACATACATACATACATACATACATACAGATATAGATGCATATGTGTGTGTGCGTACGTACGTGCATGTATGTGTGTCTACATATAATCACTTAAAAAAAATATTCAGATATGCTTGACATAAAATATGTAATTTGTATATTTGACATAAAATATGGTAATTTGAATATTTATGAGATCATATTATTGAATATTTATTAGAATTATTATTAGAATATTTATTAGAATTTGAATATTTATTAGATCATATTAAGTAATATCATATTACGTAAGTAATATCATATTAAGTAATATCATATTACTTAATATGATCTAATGAAAATCTAATCTTATCTTAAATGCTTATTTTTATTTTTTGCTTGTTCTTTCTTCTTTAGGAAGACGATCGCCAGCATGTTGTAACCATGATTTAATAACAGCTTGTATTTTATCAATCGTAGAATCTAATCGAGAATTAATTATAGTCTCTGAAATAGAAAAATAAAAATAATTAAAATATAAAATATTTTTTAGATTATATAGATATTTTAGAACATATAGATAGAATATAGATATATATTTTATAAAGCACTAAATTTTTAGTCTCCACAATTTTTGAAATTATATTAACGAACTTCAAATAGAAAATATATATGTACAACATTAATTTATAAAAAAATAAGAAAGAATTTCATTATAATCATTGTCATCATTATTAAATATGATGATAGTTATAATGGATAATAAAGGAGTATGCTTCAATTTTCTTATTGATTTTTTTTTTGAATATTGTTATATTCTAAAAATTTATTTTGTATAAATAAGTAGTTATAAATAATTATTTAACTAATAAAGGTATACAATAAAGATAAAATTTTATATTATAGTAAACTATTCATATATAAAATAATATAAAAAAAGAAAATGTAAAATGTATCACTAATGATTACATAAATATGTAACATAGAAAAGAAACTATGTAAATTAGAAGCAAAACATCTTTGTTTTCATTAAAAGTTAATATGATATAAATATCTAAGCGTATAAATATCTAAATTTTAGTTTTAACATACTCCTTAAAGAAAAATGAAAAATAATAAGCAAATAATAAAATAGTATGCAAAAAGATAAATACCAATTATCAAATCCATAATCTTCATTTCTTTTACCATTAGCGAATTTTTTTGTCCTGTCCATGACATTTTATATGCCATTTGATCAGTTAAGGTAGCAGTTAAAGCATTTCGTACATGTTTTTGGAAAGTTGTACCACCGATATTTTTTATCATTTTTTTCTGTGATGCAATGATATTTAACTTTAATTAAAATATGTAAGGACATTTTCAATGTAAAAAATTATAGCAAAATACATTAGAAATAATTGATAAAACATAGTTTAATAAGAAATATATACGCTAAAATGTTACATAAATTTTGAAATACAATATGAAATCACTCACATATTGTGACCGAGCTGCAGCATCTTCTTTTAGTAATATTTCAAAGTCTTTCAATTCTTTTTCTGATGTAATAGGCAAGTTTAAAGCAAGATTATTGGTAGCATCGCGAGGTGCTTCATTACTCATATCCAATACAAGAAGATAAACTGAATTTATTGTTTTTTTAATTGTCTGAATATCTCTACGACAGGATGCTATAAAAAGAAATCGGATATATTACAATTTAATCAACCAACAGATAAGAAGTTCATAATTATTCTTACCGCAACATAATTCATGATGTTCGAACGTACGTCGTTCGTTTTGTCGGTCAGTATTATTTTGTATACGTGCTGCAGAGAGAATTTTTATAGAGATTAATACTTGATATTTTTTTTAATACATTAATTTTTAGAGGTAATGATAATCTTACATAGAATAAGTTTGTTGTATGTAATTCATGTTATATCAATTTTCATTTATTGAATGTATAAATGTAAGTAATACCTACTAGTTTCAATGACATTATGAATAATTGAATTATTTTTTAATATTTTATCGTTATCCAATTGAGCTGAATCTACGAAGATAATTATTTTGTTAGTATTAATTAACATAAATTTATTTCAATTTTCGTTTTTTTTAACTTACTAAGTATATTTTGTTGCAACGATATTTGTTCGTCGAGTTGATTCGTGTCATTTAGATCATTTAATGTTTCAGATATATATATTTCATTATTTGATTCAACATTATTGTTTGTTGGTTCAGATTGTTTCGTTAGAAGTGGTTCCTGACTAAAGAAATTTCCATATTCCAAAGGTTGACTTTCAAAACCTATGTTATTGTTTTCATTGTCAACAAAACACTTTGCTACACCTGTGAAAAAATTGATTAAATGCATTTTTCCAAAATTTAAATTTTAAGTTTTATTGAATAAAGGAATAATAAATTTAATCAAAATTTTAAAGTGAATAATATTAAAATAATCGATTATATTCCAAATTTTGTTATTACATGCTTCATCTTCGCTTGTAAATTTCTTATTATTATTCTTTGAAATATAATTGGTTGGAGGTTTTTGGAAACTCTTTTGGATATCTATAAGAAAATGAGAGTCTATTAAATTAATAAATTAATAAATTAAATAAACTATTAAATAAACTATTAAATTAATATATTATTATTAATTTATAATTAATCAGTTAATTTCTTGTAATGATTTACTGTAAGGTTTTAGAATTTGTTCTGCAGCTTCATCAGATTCTTCATTAGAATTTTCATCAGATTTTTCATTAGATTCTTTATCTTCACCTAGAGAAATATTATTTTTTTGAAGTTTCGGAAGTCTTTTATTTTTAACATCTATAAAAATATATACATATATGAGAAATAGAACTTTATAACATTTTAAGACAAAATATTAAAAAGTAAAATGTTTTTATTTCTTAATGTAAAATTTTGTAAAATTAAAATGACTTTAAATACTTACATGATTTCTTATCATATTCTTCATCGGAAGAACAAAGTCGATATGGTTTTTTGATTGCACGTTTCATGGGAAGTGGCTTACAATTAGTTGCTTTATTTGTGATTGTTTCAAATGCATCTTCGTCATTAGTCGAAATATTAAGAGCTTCGATTTCAATACTTCTAGCTTCATTATATGTAGCTTCAAAATTATATATATATTCAAAATAATATATACTAAAAATCTGAAGATAAAATACATTGATATTTTAAACCTACCAAATGGTCCTATAAACCTGTTATAATGAATTGTACTCCAATTTTCTTTTGGCAATGTTGCTTTAATGCTTTCAAGTGTAGGATTTTTAGATTTTGGTGGCCACTTAAAAATTTTAGACTCCTTAAATAACCAACAACTTGGTATGGTAGCACACTACTCTTTCCAAAATACAATAAAATACATATTTGTCGAATTAACAATTTTTTAAGAAGTAATCTAGAAAAAAATTCATGTAAAATTGATAATTAATAAATTTACTTATGAAAAAGATTACTTTTTTAAAGTAATTTTAATCAGTTTTACATGATTTTATCAATGGAAATATTTTTTTTTAATTTATCACAATATCAATTGCAAACGATATATAGTGACAATTTAGTCATGTTAAATAAAAGTAATTTATACATAATAATCTACTGTTGAGTCAAGTGTTGAAGACAATTACAACGGTTCTTTATTTACTATGAATAAAATATTTAATAAATTGAAAACATATATCTTATGATTAAAATTAATTTTTAAAGAAAGAAATAGCACTTAATATTTAAAACAAAACTGTCTAAATATTTATATTAGGTGGTAAACTTAATTTCTGCCGCTAAATATTACATATACAATATTTAGCGGCAAAAATTAAGTTTATCACTTAATAATAATAAATTTGCAAAAACTTAAGTGTTAAGCATAACCTTAAATATAGGTTATTTTATTTATTCCTTCACTTTAATTAATCCGTTTCTTATTTGCATAATTGATTTTAGTTTTATTTTTCGTAATGACAATAGCACATTATAGTTTTATTTGCATATGCGTTTAATACCGATATTTTAAGGAAAATTATATTATTATAATTATTTGCAACTTTGTTACAGCTACACAAAAATACATTCGTAAAAGCACATTCATATATACCTGTAAACAATTAAATTATTTAAAACTACGGTTATCTCTCTAATTTTAGATCTATTTTTTTATCTGGATTGGTTCAGAATTTCTCTTTCTGGTTTCAACGTAGAGTGGAAAAAATACTAAACTAGTACATCTAGTTCAGTTTAAAACAACAGATTTTTTGATAGCAGTATGCCGCGTAAATTCAAATAATGATAAACAAAATTTGAAACTTTTATTGATCGATACATAATAAAAATAAAATGCAAATGCAAATAAACGAATATTGTTATATGTATTATGTTACATATATATTGTTATATATATTATGTTAATCAATAAAAGGAATAATTAATACTAATTTATAATAATATAATAATAAAGTTTTAAATTCTTAATTTTAGATCATTATTTTTTATACTGTGGATTGAAAATAATAATCAATTAGATGAATGTAGCAAGGGCAAAAAACAATAAGATTTGTTATATGGAATACATACAGCCTTTTTGCTAACGTTATTTGCATTGATAATTGTCTGTTGAGACCATTGATTCCCGACTGCAATATCAAACTCCTTTGAATCAATAGGATAATTTGGAAAAGCTACAGAATTCATCAATAATTCTCCAATTAAAATAGGTTTTTCATCATGATCTAAACAAATATTTTTAATGCGTACGATAGTCCTATCCTGCAAATAACAATATTGATCTGCTTTATTCATTATTGATAGTGTAAATTTATTAAAATGTATAATATTATATGAGGTAATACCAAGTTCTTTCGATATTTTATGATTTTTACATGTCACTGTAGGTTTTTCGAAAAATAAATCTTTCTTTTTTTCAAAATTACATGCAATACGTTCTACAATTCTATTGTGCAGCTGCTGTAAAGGTTTTTCTGCCTTTTTTAGTGTTTTTTTAATATTATATAAGTAACTCTCAAATGAAAAACAACTGAAAGAATCAAGATGACCAAATTTTAAAACATCACTGGCTAAATGAATTAAATTATGGATATTATATATCAAAAAATCGGTACCATATAATTCAGTACATTTCTCTACAAAATATTCCAATAAATCTGCAACATATTTATTATTATCTTTGCAATCTGTTTCGTGACAAAGAATCCTGATTGCACAGTGTAGAGAAATAAAATGGATGAAATATTTCTTTGGTAAATAATTTTGAAGAACAATTGGACCTACATACAATAAAAATAATCTCAATTCAGTCGCTTTCCATCGATCAAGATATTCTAATTCCCGAGTTTTTCTAGCAAATTCAGATGGAATCCATTTTGTTATGATTTTTAAATTTACAGATATTTCTTTTATCGTTTTAGCAGAAAATTTAATACATTTATGAGATCCTTTTGTTACCTTTTGTAAGATTTTTTTTACAGCTCCGAGACAAACAAGATGCATGTAATCAAGTGGGAATTGCGAGACCATCCCTAAATCTGCTTCTTCAAATAATGATGTTCCAGTATGATGATTTTCATCAATACGTTTAATGAAATTTTCATCTGTTCTTAAAGCTGCACTCGAATTCAAAAATAACATGCGATGATTGTAATAATTTCCTTCTTCTCTACATTTTCCACATCCAAAGTAGCCATTGTGACCTTTTGTACATGTAATGAAAGATCGTGCTGGACTGTCACAAATTACAGCTCTAATTGTACAATAACAGTAAAAATTTGATTGCAATAGTTAAATCCGCTTCTATGTAAAATGTTATATTCATCAATAAATTCTCTCAGAAATGTATTACAGGAGTTAGGCTTCTCATATCCATGATAAGCTCCGATTACAAATGGCTCGGAAATTTTTGGATAAATTTCTCCCAGAATGGGATAAAGTTCACTTTTTGAACTTTTGGCTATTGGCAATCCATCAATATTTACATTTATCTGGATATCATGAGATATTTTATTGATACCAATCATTCTCAATTGATCAGTTAAAGCATTTTTTAAACCATAATGAAAATATTCACCTGGTGGTACACTACGAATTATTGTTGATTTTGGTGTTCCAAGTAAAGTTCTTGGATCTAAAGGTAGATTGCGAAATTGATCTAATTCAGCATTTCTTAATATTTTTAGAAGAGCGCCAGTTGCTTCATGAGTTATGCCATGATTGCACACCCATCGTGCCATTATTTTATTAAAATTTTGAGATTTTTCCTGTAATACATTTTTATAAAATCCATTTGTAACCTGATTTTCATCTATTGAATTACTTTCACAATCATTGTGATTATTTATGAAAATATTGATAGTATTTTTGTTATTCGATTCTTTCAAGACATAATTCATAAATTTATCATCTTGAAATTCAGAATCACTTGTAGTTTCTTTTGTTACTGTTTTT